TAAATTTTGTATACTTATTGATCTTTAATATTGCCTGTTAATTGGTGTAAGATGCCTCCTTCTTCATTGTTCATAATTTTTAAATATAGCTTTTTAACCATGTTAACCACCGTTACTCATTGTTTTCAAGTTTAAACATTGTTTTTTTTTCTACTGTTGTTAGCCACCTTGGGTCCTTTTCAAGGAGAAAGGCAGGGTAAAAATATTTTAAATAAATAACTATGCTTAAAATTGTGCTATACTTTGCTGTTGATGGGAAAATATGCAGAGCAGTAAGACTTATGCCTGCTTTGCCTTCTCTATTGTTGCCTGCCTGTGCCCTTAGCAATGGTCATTGCTGGCATGCAGACTTTAATACCCTTCCTATATTGGAATTAAGGCCCTGTTCTGAAAAAGGCACCCTATAACATTGTAGTAGCTGGTGTTTTCTTGAACAGACTAGTGAAGGTTTTTGAGAGACTTGCATGAACATTTAATCGTGCTGCACAGAAAATTAAAGGGTGCCCTGTGATCTGTCAGGATTAACATATTTTCAATGTAAGAATCTTAATGAGTCCCAACAGTGGAATGTTCTGGGTTTGCTCATAATCCAAGAAAACAAAAAATATACAGGTTTTTATTCCAAATTGGCAAGAATCATCCAGGGACAATAAATTGCAGCCTCATGTTTTTTGTTTCCAGAATACACATGGGGCCATGGGATTCATTTCGGATGCCCTCCTGTGTACATAATTAACTGAACTGAACACCAGCTTGAATCTGGAAGATGTATATAGCTCAGCGTGTTGTTGGAGCATGCAAGGAGGGGAGGCGTACACCTCCCACAAAACAAATAGCATGGAGAAGCCATTAAAGTAATGAAAACCAAGAACAGGCTTCAGATCTGTGCCAAAGAAAGACACAGCTCCAAGCTGCACATCATAGCACGATGCATGGTGATGAGTGCATCAGCATCATACAAAGCCAGATTTTCACCAAAAGGAAGGTTTATCTCTGCATGTTTTATGTGAGAACCCAGGCACATACTATGGAAATGTGTTGCAATATGAAGTGGTTATACAATTGCTAGATAAAACATGTTCTCAAAAAAGATGTGCTGAGCAACCCCATGTATTGGTGTTTGCTTAATACCCATATAAAGTGTGGTAAATGAAAGGATTTGCTCTCTGCTTTACATGAAGAGTGTCCACAGGGCTAGTCCTGACATTCAGCAGAGTAAGGCAGTTACCCCAGGCCAAAGACATTGAGGCATGCTGAAAGGGATTAGTCCTGTGACATAGAATCTGCAAAGAAAGAAGGAAAGAAAGAAACCATCCAGAAATGAGGAAAGGCAATAAATTTGTTAGACTACTAAGATCGCATGAACAGGTGCTAGCTTTCAAGTCTTGCAGAACTCTTCATTAGACTGAGGTTTTAATAGTCTAATAAAAGTATCACCCACCTTTGTTTTTGGATGGTCTGCTTTGCGTCCCTTAAGCTTCTCTGCCACCATTGTGTGTAGTGGAGGATACTGCCTGTAAACAGTACTGAGATAAAATTCAACTGCCTGAATCTGTCTGAACAACTTTCCTACACACAATAGGGGAAGGAAAAGTGGCAACATCTTGTTCTTTGCCTGAAGTAGCAAAACATTTTGGGCCATCCCTGGGCGTGCATGAAGGATGAAAGCAAAATCAAGCCCTTCCCTCACTAGATCTCGTTGTGCTACACTGTGTTCTAGCATTTTCTGCCCAACCTGATTTTGATACTAGAAATGAAATGCACACAGAGAAAAGCCCAGTGGCAGAGACCACAGCAAGCTAAGACGGGCCTTGGAGATTGACAGATTCTTAATTAGTTTTCTTCATTAGCTAATGTGGCTATCGTTTTTGAAATGTCACCATGTTACACAAGGGTTAAAACAATCTCACAAGATAAATTTTGTACACCAAGCTCTTGTGAAAGGTCCAGCTGAAGTTTCCCACCACATGGAGATAAACATCATCACTCAGCTCACGTCATATCTGCAAGTCATGTTGCTGTAAATGAAACAGGAGAAGATGCTGGTAAGAAACGTTAGCCGTCTTTTATAAACAGCCATACCTTCGGATGGAGAAAGACCTTGACAAGAAGATATGGAAGGCACACATGAAAACATAATTAGTATGCAAGGATTTTTGTCTGTTATACTGAAAACTAAAAAAAAACAGCTATCAAGCTTTCGTTACTGCTACATTATGTTCTACTAACAGAATTATAATTACATGTAACTACCAATGGGTGGCAGCAATTGCTTCTGTTGAACATAGGAATGGTTCATGTATTCCTTTCATAATTAGGGACAAATTCCTTAAAGAAAAAGAAACAGCAGATTGAGATATGTAGCTGATAATGATGTAAAGAAAGCCTAGAAAATAAATGGAAAGAGGAATGAGTTATATAGAGACGACAAATGAGTCATCCTGACAGATAAACTCACATCACATTTTTTGGGGGTATTTTCTGATCCCACTGATCTTCTAGTGTGCTGAGGGCTATCAGAAAGAGCAGTAATAGGGTTACTCTGATGTTCCTCCCCAAAATGGGGGCAACCTACTGGTAACTAGAATGTGCCACTTCTAGTTACCAGTAAGTAACTAGAAGTGGCACATGGGCTGACAAAATATGGGATGTAACTTATAAAAAACCAATCCAGTACATTGGTTGGGACAAAAAAATTAGCAAAAAGCAATATATGTATCAGGATATTTTGTTGTCCCAGACTTTTTTTTATTGTTTTTAAAAATTATTCACATAGAATATTGTTTATAACTGTTCAAGTGCCAATGCTCTTTGATGCCCATCTTGTAGGACCAGTTTTGTGTGAATTCTGCAAGGGAAACATGACTTTGGGGTGCTAATATGTCCCATCTGCTTGGATTAATGTCTGCAGGAAAAATATATAGCTAGTAATGCTCATTAAAGAGGCACTACCCAAACCTCTAAAATCTGACATTTCTTTGTCACTAATTAATTGATTATTATGAGTAACAATAATAACAATTATAATTATAATCATAATAGTACACTAGAGTTAATGACTTGTTCATATAATTATTAGACAAGCAAATCCTGAACTATACGTAAATAATAACTCAATATATATTCCAGGAATGCTAAAATTATAGACTAGAAACAGAAATCACAAAGGGTTATTGTCAGGTCCAAGTGTATCTTGTCACTGCTTCATATTATAGAATCACACAGGATTTGTGATAATGAAAGTTCACGCAACCTGTCTGTCCTTCAGGAGCTTGCTGGCATCAGAAAGTTGCTGAACTGAGCATCCATTTTATCCCATATGTAGCAAAGCAGTTTTTCTTCTTGAAGTCACTGGAGCAAATGGGGTACTGGAGTGAAAAGACTAATGATGACTGGATGGTAAAATAATAGCTATAATACACTATAATAAACTCTGTGCATATTTTTGAATTCTTTTTGATCGCTTCAGAATATTTCATATATATAGTCATAAGACAGAAAGCAAGAGGAAGCTGCAGTCATTCAAATTTAGATTCCCTGGACTGCAAGGAGGACAAACCTATCCATTCTAAAGGAAATCAACCCTGAGTGCTCACTGGAAGGACAGATCCTGAAGTGGAGGCTCCAATACTTTGGCCATCTCATGAGAAGAGAAGACTCCCTGATGTTGGGAAAGTGTGAAGGCAAGAGGAGAAGTGGACAACAGAGGACGAGATGGTTGGACAGTGTCACCAAAGTGAACAAACAAAATTAATTAGACCCAACTCCGGGAGGCAGTGGGAGACAGGAGGGCCTGGTGTGCTCTGGTTCATGGGGTCACGAAGAGTTGGACACGACTTAATGACTAAACAACATATAGGCTATGCAAATGTGGAAAGAAAGAAAAAGTGTGTGGGGGGGAGAGAATAAGTGGAGGCACAGGTTCCATTTAAGAGCCTTCTTAAGAATTCCTGGGTCCTCTCATCTGGATCCTCCTCCCTTTTGCCCTAGTCTCATTCATTTGACCTCACCAGGAATGAAAGCTAAGGAGATGGAGCAGCAGCCTCCACTGGCTATTCCCCAATTCCTCTGGGTCATGTGAACTTTGATCAGAGGCCCAGCACATGGCAGACAAACTGGAAGCAGCAACAGGAGATGATCAGCATCTGGTGAGGCCGCTCTGGGTGCGTCTACTCACAGGCAGGCTTTGCCCAAGTCCTCTTCTCTGGACAACGACCTGAGATTTGGGAATCCAAAGGATCACTCCACAGAGCATGCTGAGAGCGGTATCGAATTACCATTCGCTCAGAGCTTGGAAAAGTGACTGTCATACTCTGTAAATCCAGGGGAATTCTGGGATTTGTAGTGGAAAAAAATCTTTTCAAAGTCCTGGACCTGCTGAGGTGTGAAAAACCCAAGCCACCGGTCCAAGAGAAGTCTTTCTCTCCCCACTTCATCTCCTCCAACTCGAGGAGGAGCCCATTTCCCACGTTCTGCCAGCTTCAGCAGGAGTGTAGGTTCTCCCTTGTGAATCGACCTGGCTCACTTCCTTCTCTTAGCCCACCACTATTCTCTCGTGGCCTCTCCATCCACTTTCCTCCCACGGCTTCCGTTTTTGACCTGTTAGGTCCCCCCGCACCACATTATGGGGAATAAGTG